TTGTTGTGGTCCCTTCTGACGATTTAGCCGTCACTTTAAGATGCGCTCATGGAAAACAATTCAGAACATAGTTCATGTGTGGCAGTGTATCCTTCTTAACCTCGGCACGCTATCAGTGGAACAATCTAAGGGGAACATAAGGCCGAATTCGTAGGGATTCCCTGTGTTTATTTATTTTCGTTCGCACTTCACGTCAGGTCAGGAAACACGAGCCAGCCTACCTATAATGGAGATTGCTATTATTATTATATCGGCCGCACATAAACTAGGAGCTATTGTGGGATCAGCGTGGTCTGCCATTTTATGCTATCGGACCCAGTCTAACCGTAATTTCCGGCCTTTGACATCGCTCAGGCGGACGCTAATCATCGGTTCGGATCCTATTCAACCTCCTCCAAGCGTCCCTCCAATTCCAGCTATCCTTTGTAGTTCACCGGAAGCGGTTGCCATTCAGGTAACGAGAGTTCGTAACGCTACAATGCGGAACACACTCTGGTTACTAAAGTCGCATACGGCTCAGCAGTGAAGGCTGCTGAGGCCTACCCCACAAACAACATTTGGGCTTGCAATTAGCCGATCGGTCGAAGCTAACAACATAATTCAATCAAGGCATTCATACCACTGACTCTGATCAGTTTGTCTTTGAGCTGCGCACTGTTTCATGAATCGTCCATGACTGAAAGAGAAAGCTCAGTGATCAAACAACAAGGGAATTTTCCTGCGAAATCAGATACCATCTATGTAAGCTGGAGTGCACAGTAATCCGGACGATCGCATTTTCTGTGCAGCGGGGCCCCTGGTTGGGTGTTATATCTGACAAAAAACCCTCACAGCTATTGGCCCAATCTGTCATATGTTTTTCAAAAAACCTCCATTAACTTCGTGCCACCCTCAGATATGTAACCGTGAGTGCCTTTCAGGAGGAAGGTTAGCCACCGCTTTGGCCTTACAACTGACAACCGCTTCGCAAAATATCAACTCAGATTTTGTACAAATTAAACCTCTCGTTATGGTGTTTTCTAAATTCACTTTCGAACCGGGACTTGAGTCACACATTGTAATGACTGTCAGCCGATCTATCGCCATAGAATTCTCAAATTCTGCGCTGGGTTCGGAGTCATACTGTAAACCATCCTTGTCAGACCACCCGTTCAGCTCACGGCACACTCAACAGAACTAATAACTCAAACGACAGAACTCATAGCCCCAGGCTAAACTCTTCTGTTTCCTTTGTTTTTATGTGAAATCGTTGAACCGGGTGACTGCAAACCCGCACACATTGGCCAATTAACCGATGCAGTAAAGCCGCTTGTGCGCTCTCTAGACTCAGTAGAACCCGTCCAATCTAATCTAACTTTCCTGACTTTTGTTTTGACGATCTTTGTGTTGTTGACCCATTGCACTTCGACTAGTCATTCATAGGGAATTACAAGTAAAAATTATAATGTTTCTGTCGCATCCTGTAGAGAATGCACAGAGGACACCTCCACGCGCACTATTCGCTACCTTAAAGGTGTCGCAGCATATTGCAGTTAAAAAGACAACGCCTTATTCAAACCCACATTCACACCAGACCGGTGAATTCCAGTTCATTGCGGCATGAGACATTCCTGGTCACCGTGGGTAGATATGAGGTAGGAAGACAACTCTTGTGCATTAAGCCAACTGAACAATAGGACCTGTGTTCAAATGTCTGGTATTCGTCGCTTTTGATCGTTACTTAACTGGCTGGTGGTGAAAAGTATGCATTGTGCCTACTTTCTTGGCGGTAAGATGGTAGTTGGTAGCCCCCCCCCCGGTACCGAAAACTCCCAGCTACCTGACTTACGGGACCGGTGGTAATAGGGGCTAAACGGGTGGGGCAAATGAGTGGAGGCGTAAATGGCGCTTGTGGGGAATGCCTGGAATTGACGATCCTGATAAAGTGAAAACCTAATTTAAAGAAGGTGAAAAATACAAGGAAGGTAAACACTTCGGATCTGACTGACGTATGAGACGCCTTGCTGTTGTAGTCTGAACCCAAGAGGTAGTAAGTGCGCGATGTCGTAGGTGAAGTGCGCCCAGTTCAAACCCAGCAATGTCGAAGCGCCCGGGGGGGTGCCGTAGTGCCTTAAACTGGAAGTGCAGGAAAGGATCGCTAACTGGCCATGGCGGTGTTAACAAGGCGTCACAGTTTTCAGCCAAACCCCTGCGACCAAATACAACCGGGCTGTTCGTAAAGGCGGGGGGTGGAGGGCAACACTCTATCAATACGACTGATGCACTGGATGGAGTATCGGTAGACACCCTAACTGAGCGTCAGTTGTCCTTTCGTACACGATCGCACCGGACTCTATTGGAGGTCTGGAGTAAAAAGACCCAAGGATGCAGGCAAACCGACGAAACGGAGACCCGCGCCAATCCGCCTAGGATAGTGCCTATGCAATTAATCTGATGCAGGTAATACTGTGCGCACATGCAACTAGAAGCATAATGGGAAGCATGATGAATTATAATCCGTTTAGGATAAATCTTTCGCCTTTTACTAAAGAGTTCCGTGTGGGGGTGCAATACAATGAGTCCATATAGACAGTCTTGCAGCGCCTCGTTCTCGGGGCGGTTAAAGTAAAGAAGAAAGTCATCCTGACAGGGCCTCTGTGCGTGCACTCCCCAGACATAATGAGAACGTTATCACACATACCGAAATCGAGCCAGTAGGTACAATTGTAGAATCAGTGGACAGGGCTACCAACTACCATCCTGCCTTCTTGGCATTAGTACGCGAGTCCGACCCCAAGGCAAACGGAACGCTCTGATTCTGTCCTTTGGTTACTGAATGCTTGTTCTACCGTATGAACACGGTGGTGTTTGTGGTATCTTTCAGTTACCTCATAGATGCGAATAGAAATTATGCTTACTTCATAGTAAGGGTAACTTGAGAGTGGTGGAGTGAAGCTCCATCGTGTTAAGTTGGTCGTTCTATTTGGTGGTACTACAAGACAGCGGACGTCAACCGCTATTGTCTCGTACGTCACGAAGCTGGTTGCGACTACGAAAGCTCGTCTTTCACCTGGAAGTGGAAAAACACATCAACATTGACTAGAAGCCCGCATGGTAGGGAGTAGGAAATGTCTCATAAAACAATTTAATGAGTCAAGGTTTTGACAGTGTGATCGTTCGACTTCTAGGTCGCCGTGACCTTTTTCTCAAGGTAATGAAATTAGTCAAGTAAATGTAAAAACTAATAAATTCTTCGGACTATGATGGGACTCTTATAAGGTTTTACTGGCATTGATGATGATGATGATGATGATGATGATGATGATGATGATGATGATGATGATGATGATGATGATGATGATGATGATGATGATGATGATGATGATGATGATGATGATGATGATGATGATGATGATGATGATGATGATGACAACCGCGGGATGATAAAGGCGCTTAATGGTAATGGTGGCTGTATTAGCGACGCTTTGTTTGGTTATTTTGAGCTTTAATGTTTTGGCATACCATCGCTCGCACGAATTTACTAATAAACTTTCCCTTCGCAGAGTCTTTCACAAGTTGAACAAATTTTTCCCGACTATTTTACTATGTCCGCCAACAAACTACTGTGACAGAGTGTGCTCATTTCGACCCCGTGGTCGACATGAAATGAAAACTGGTAAACTGTTGGACTGCAAGCCGTATATAGCAGTGTCATTGTTTTGAGTACTTGAGGACTAATTGGAGCAGCAGTTAAGATAGACAGTCGAAAGCGCCGACAGTCTACAGCCAAAATGTTTGCTGTAAGAGCAAGCAGAAACAGTAGCCTCGAATTCTTGACAGCTGCTTACCTCCTCTCCTCACCCCAATCTGAGTAGCCGGCAAAAGGGCTGTGGGTTTAGAAAATTATTTCCCTAAATTCCTGATGGTCCGTTTGCCAGGCGTTGTGCATGTCGGGTTTAACGATCACGGTAGCACACGTATTTCGGCTTGACTTAAATGGGCACAAGAAAAGGCGCCATACAGCATGCCCAACAACACAGCATAAGAAACTTGCCTTCAATGACCACGGTGTGAAGTTTACTCAGTTCAGACCGTCCTGCCTTTGCTTTGCACATATAGGTGGCCGTACAAGGCACAACATCCGACATTGGTATGAGAGTGGCGGTGTCATTGGGGATTACATAGTGTGACAAGCAGCCATCCACCCGTTTCCAGGTGACCTCGTACGCGCCCCCCGTCTCAGGGGGATAGAGGCTGCATTTGATCTTCTTCAGCAGTCCCTTATACATAATCGCTTGGTCTGGATCGATGATTAGTTTCAGCTCAACTGAAAAAGTAGACAGATGTAACACTGCAGTGGCGAGTAGGCGTGTTAGATCTACTGACTTTTCGACCCGCGTAATTTCAGCGTAAACAGTCCATTCGAGATTTTCCGAGATGTTTAAGAACGCTGCAATATCTTAAAGGCTACCATGACCTGGAGTACTTGGGCGTAGAAGTTTTGAGTTTTAAAGCATATCTTCTTGACTCTTAAAGACATTGTTTCCTAAGCTAAAAGCAGGGAGTGAAAATATCGAACATTCATCAGATTCTATGCAGAGCCCGGACGTGCGAGACGGTTCGAATTTACACTACGAGTCAGGACTCTCAAAGAGAAAACTGTTAGTGAGAAACTTTGACAGTGAGATCAACAATGGCGAGAGTGGTTCTCGGGCCAATTCTAAATCCTCGTCAGTGCTTGTGTATGTCTAGCTGATAATGGCGAGTAAAGTAAGACTAGTGATCCAGGCTTCTGCCCTGTTTGCAACTAAAAGTACTCTGATGAGATGAAGTTGCGGGATTGCCCTCAAACAAATCTCAATCATATGCGTAAGTCATGCATCTAAATTACGCTCATATGAAACCTAGTTGACCTGTAAACATTTTGGAATATGTACATCTCAAATCACTTTTACTCTCCTTATAATACGAAAATGCAATAAGACGAAGGGAAATCATGTTGAATAACAGAAATAACAGACTTCGAGCTGTCGGCCAAATAACATTAATGGTCAGGGAATCTGATTCCCAGAATCCATTTACAGGACGTAATTACTCCTCAGGCGATGGCAATAACCAGATTTGACACGTCCTTCACGTATTAGAATGTTCCCGCATATTTAACCCACAAATTCAAAAATCATTTTAGGGTTTTCAAATGCTCTAATGGTCACTGAGCTGGCAGTGAATGGACCGAGGATGAAATCAACGTTTTTTTCCATCGATAGGATAAGCTAGTATTTCCGCCGCGTGCATACTCATATATATATGTTAAGATGGCAGCAAGTTTGTCGTTTATCTTCAGATTGGACATTCTACAGAGACAGGTCTTGGCTTTGGTCTATATTCCATTCAAAATTATCGTTAATGAATACCGCCTATCGAAATACTGCAAAGTCGTCCCAGTCGCCCAGGAGGGCTCCAGATGCAAGACTGCAATGTTGCAACGCGTGAACCTCCCCAACGGAATGCTAAATGACGTGCTTCTGAAGGTTGTTTGCCGACGGGACTTCTTGGTCCTTCTATGAATTAAAAGTAAGATTAATGTAGCCATTCTCATGTTTGTTGCACTTGAGCCCATGCAAATGAGAGACGGTAGATAGACTAACATCGGGCCCAACGCCAACTTCCACCAAACCAACAAAGCATTTCTTGGAACTATCATGACACGCTAGCAGTCGTGGCTTGAAAGACTGCCAACTGATGGGTCAGACAGCAGTGGCTCCATTGCACTCTCACTCACGTGGAATTCGACACCCACTCAGTAAAGCCAATTTCGCGAGAGCCTGGGTTTGGCAAACGTGAACGTGTTGTCTAGCTTTATCGACCGGTACGTCCAAAACCATCACCTATCGTCTTGATTTTGCCTCGCAGTCGGAAGACGCAAGTTACCACTCAGCAGTGAAATGTGAGGATGCTGACGGCAACAGTTTAACACTACTGCCAGTAAGTCCACTTTGTCAGACAGCGCATAAGCTCTGGTACCGCCTTTCTGGTGACGCTAACCGAATCGTTCTAAATTGCCGGCCAGTTGTCTTCAGTGAGTGCCTGCGTTTTTGTAAGTTAGGGCTGTCGTTAGCTCGTTAATCTGAAAGAAGAGCACTGCAGCACTACTCTTTATGTTTTAACGTTTAGACTCAAGAGACTGTGAATAGCAGGGGACTTACCAATGATTCTGAATGACTTGTGGACTTCGATCCTTTGAAGAGGATTTAATAAATAGCATTTGTATGTCCATGGTCCCTCTATTAGCTTCGTCAACTTCATGGTGTTGTTTGTGATATCAAAGGGGTGAGTTTGATGCCTGTTGCTGTACTTAATCCTGATGCGATCTTGCAGCAGAGAGCTTGATTTCAGTTTGCAGGTAATAACATCTACGTCTAGGGTAGTTATGTCGCCAACATCCGGAACAAAAATGAGTTCACTACTTTCTAAAAGGAAGAAATGGCGTTGACATGCAACTCAATGAATCACTTGCGCAAGATCATTGAGCAAAAAGGCGTTTTCAGGAAATGGAGCATTTCCCAGAGCCTAGCGTCCAAAAGGTGTAGTAAGTAGTAACAGGTGCAAATTATTTCATAGTTTTTCGGCGATTCTGATTAACAAGGTTATGCTCCACATTTTTAGGTATTTCGTCTCTGACTGTTGTCGACTCTTTCTGGGCCCGAGGTTTCTATAAGACATTCGTTTTTTGTCAAATCCGACCTTTTTTATACGTCACACAACTACGTAGTGCGGGCAGATCTCAACGCCATTTTTCACTAAAGTGGAGACAAGCAACGAACTTTCTTTGCAAGCATCTTAATGTGACTTTGTAGAAACGAGATGGACTAAGCAATTGCAGTAAAAAAAAACACGAGAAACGACGTTACTTCAGGCAAACGGGATTGCATCCGCAGATTGTTTTGCAGCCTGAAAAAATATCTTATCACTGAGAATGAGAGTATTCGGAGCAGTTCTGCCTTTACAACCCAACTTAGGAAAAACAGCCTCATTTATTGCACCGACAGCTGAGGAGACAGGAAGTATTTGAAAAGTCATCCACCAACTTTAAAGAGGTCATCGTGGCAGTCCGCCGATTGCTTGAAATTTTTGGGGTAGTGATGGATGACAAAAGAAGCACGATCAGACCACGTGTGGCACAACTCAAGAACCCTTTGCCCCATACGGTGAATTGGCTCATGGTCTACGGAATCATCTGCACTCACGGCGCCAGTAAAGTAGGAAAAAGCTACCCACTCGAACCCCAACTGACGGCAGACTGTAATGCTCTGACATTACCCAGGTTGCTTTGACCTGTTCAACCAACTTTAAGCTGCCAAATCCAATCACGCACAGTATGAATCCTGCTCCAAATTGCTAGTTTTGCAAACCTAAGACTGAGTATGGCTACCCGCAGACAGGTAATAAGCCTGAAATAGCCATCCACATCACCCACCTCGTCTTTGTTCTAAGCTGTGGACACGAGATAACCTGTTCGCTGTTTCCCTAGAGAATTTTCCAGTGTGAAAAACGATTCCGCTAACTACGGTCAGGTTCCATAGCTCATTTCTGCAAACATGGTGCGTAGAGTAAATAACTGAGGCGACACATTAGATCTGCCTCCAAAAAGACTACAATCTTCACTTACCGATAAATGTAAATGTTCGCGATATCACCGGGTTATTGTAATACAAGCATTCATATGTTGCATCGGCGCCGTTCTCTATATTAAAACGTAGGAAGAGAAGGTTTGCCCTGTGCAAAAACATCCTGACGCCAGAGCTATGACGCCACATCATTGCGTGCATGGTGTGTGTATTGTTGCGATATTCACAAGCGATGACGGGCGGCTCAAGATCCCCAAAGATGAAACTGAAGTCTGGTCGAATATTCACTTGATCCAGCACTGAGGGCAGAGCTGGTAGAGGAGATCACAAATTACGAAATTTTAAAAAATACCAGGGCGGAATAAAGCATACCAAGTCGCATTTATAATTACTCAATGAATCGTTTGTTGTGGATCCTGAATAAGTACTAAAAATGCCCCACAAGGCCTGAACGGCAAGAAGCGCGCTCATTGAGTTCGACAGGTACTACGACTGCCTGTCTGAGACAGGGGGATAGAAGGAATATCTTCCAGATTTATGAATCGAGGCAGGTGCAATCTGGTCAGTAGGGATGAACTATTTGTTTCTAGGCGTTCGTGGACTAGCCTTTATGTCAGGCAAGCTGGGAGGTATTTCTGTCTATAGGCTGCATATTGGATTATCTCCAAGAGAAGTGTCATTCCGAATTCCAAAATCCGTAGGCGTCCCGGACATAGGGTATGAAAAGGGTGACTACCACGGCAGAGTATGGGGGCTGATCTGCATTCCCCAGTATCTTTCTAAACCTTAATAAACCTTTCCTACATTTTAGCATTATGTTCATCTTCTTACTCCTCCAGTGAATCTGATAATTGTTCATCTCAACAGCCCAGTTTTCATAT